AAGAGTATTAATTATAGTATAATGCAGCAAAATAAATAATATTTAGCATCCATTACTTCTTATTTATTCAACTAATTGTGTTTCTATAATTTAAACTTTTAATTACTGTGTCTATCATCCTGCTTATAGAATTTATGACCATTTGGTAATCAACTCTTGCCAACTGATGAGGATTCACCTCAACATATTGTTAAAGCAACCATCTCAATTAGCAGGCTCTACATTTGCAATGTGAAGTCTACTTTATAAGATAGTTGGGCCTTTTGGGATATATGGACATATAGCCTTTAAATAATGACATAGTAAAACTTTACAAAAGAAAAGCAAGAAGCTGGGTATGGTGGTGCATGCCTATAGTCCCAACACTTGGGAAGCTGAGAAAGAAGAAACAGGAGTTCCAGGGAAGCTTGTGTTACATACTGAGTTCCAGGCTAGCCTGAGATACACAGCAAAACTCTTTCTCCAAAAATGAAAAAAAGAATTTAGATCAAGTGGAAATTTAAAAGCTATTAAGCTTATTACTAATTTGTCATTGTTTAGTGGGTTTCTAATATATTCAAGACACTGGAATACATCTTGCTAATACAAAGGTAAATAAAGCTATAATCTCTACATTAAGGAATAGTTTACTCTAGTTGCTGGGTAGACACGCAAAGCATCCAAATAGTTCAATCAGTGTGTATTATATAAATCAAATATATTCTAAGAGGTATGGCAGAAAAAGTAGAACTGATGAGTATTTTTCTGAAAGGTAGGGCACTATATTGGGATTCAAGGTGTGAGCAATGTACTAAATGGAAATGAAAATAATCCCACAATTATGTACATTGTTACATAGTCTAAGAGTATGAAATTCATAATGAATGGCTATTCTTAGAGGTTAGATGATGGAGCCACATCATGTTGTTTTCCAAATTATCATTTGTCTGTCTCAATCAATAAATACATGTAAATATTTGCCATTAGTGTGTAGATATGCATTGTCTTCTTCAGATTTCTGACAACTTTTGGTTCTTACTCAGCTTGATGGAAAAGGATAATAATCCTTCATTCCTAATTTCAAACAACACTTAGGATCCAAGGTCACAGCTCGTCATACATTTGCTTAATCACCATTTCCCAAGTGAAAAGTGCCAGAGTCACTGAGTTTTTCTCAAGAATGTTAGCCCTTGGGTAGAATTTCCCATGTGAGCTGGACCTTACCGGTCTTTTCTGAAGAGAGAGTCTACTAGCCTCTGTGGGTCTTCCCTACTAGCAGAGCTATGCACAAAATGAGGGCTGGAGCCTTTTGCTCAGCAACACAAGTGGATACACTTCAGAGAAACCACTGAAAACTCTCTTTACAGAATGACACAGATCAAATTGACTTTCCCAGTGGCCTATATTGAGAAACAGATGGTTATACTTCAGTTTATTGGTGTCTTTTTTTCCCTCTCCTTTCCTTTCCTCTCCTCTTCACTCCTCCTCCTTCTGCTCCCCTCCTCTTTTTTCTCCCACTCCCTCTCTCACTTCCTCATTCTCATACAAACATCACTGTGACACATATAAATTATACAAATAAAACTATATTTTCTAATCATCTATTTTGTCAAACTTTCTGTTTTAATTTTTTTTAAATTTTGAGACTTGTGTGTGTGTGTGTGTGTGTGTGTGTGTGTGTGTGTGTGTGTGTGATGCATGCATGTATGTCTGTGCATATGTGTACAGCGCCCACAGAGACTAGAAGACAGGGTCAATCCCCATAGAACTGGTGTTACAGATGGTTGTGAACTACCATGTAGGTGCTAGGAATCAAATCCTGGTCCTCTGGAATAACAGTCAATGCTCTTAACCACTGAGCTTTCTTTCTAGCCTCTCAAGCTTCCTCTTAAGCTCTTTTTTGAGATGCTTGTTCCCTGGTAACATATTTGTAATAAGCATAACATTCTATAGTCATTGCTTCTATGTCCTATTTATCTTTGGAAACAATTATGTATAAACAATCTGATATTTTCAGTGACTACTTGTTAAGTAACGCCAGAGAACTGTGGGCTTAGTCCTTCTTGATCCTTTCTTATCTAATCCTATGTTTGAAAATGCAATAGGAGATGGATTTTACATGACAGATGTGATTTTTTTCAAATGCTATTCAAAACCTTTCCCCAGATTAACATTTTTTCTTAAATGAAAGTCTCAATTGTTTAAAATGGCTTACAGAGAACAACAGAGCTGCTGCTGTTCTGGTCTTATCAATACTCTGTGTCTACCTATGTGTTCCTTTGCATCCCTCTTCCATGTACACTTCATCTTCCCATACGATAAAGTCATTTTATTTCCTCCAAAGTTTCCTCTTTGATGTTCTTTCTTCTCTGCCATTCATCCTCTTTTATTCTTTCCTTGAATTTTGCTACTCTACTTTTTGACCCACACATGCACTATTTTAGATGGGGTTTTCCTAATCATGTAGCAATACAGATAAAATTAGTCTTAGAGCTGGAGTCAAAGGTCAATGATCTTGTAAACCACAATGAGAAAGAAAGCATTGTATGAGTGAAGAAACCCTTTTCTAGTCAAAACAACACAAAGCCTGAAGAGAAAAGAAGTGACAGTTGAGGATCTACAAAATTCCTTTGTCTTGGGGGGGAAAGGGAGTAATGTGAAAAACTGTTTCAGGTCACAGTGAGAGCTTCAGTTGGCCTCTGCTAAGGAATGTCAAGCTCAGTTACTCCTGGTACAACCTATGTATATTTAACAAAATTGTACTGTAAAGCTAGGCAATCTCTGGAGATTTTTATTTATTACTTACAGACATTGAGTCTCACCTCAAAACTTAAACTTGATTTTTCAAATAGCAGACTGTGTACATTATTGATATATGTCTTTTAAGTTATATATCTTGATTCTGTTTGATATTTTACTGGTGAATTATGGCTATATTGACATGGTAGCAGGCATTTCAGCTGCATAAAAATAATTACTAAAACCTTAAATGCACATCCAGGTGTAAAAGTACACACACCTATAATTCCACTGCTAGGAAAGCTGAGGCAGAATGGTCCTAAGTTTAAAGCAAGCCTGGTCTACATAGGAAAGCCTTGTCTCAAAAAACTGCAAAGAATACTTCATTTAAAATTAATATTATGTGATACATTCTACAGAAATGTATACTTGAATGGTAATCAAGAATATTGATATCCAGCTATCTTTTGTAATATAAATGTTCCCTAGAAGTGAATTCAATATTAAAACATTTAAAGATGTTTGTGTACAAAAAGCAATAATGAACCCTTTTTCCTTTTTCATTGCTGAGGATCAAACCCAGGACCTGAAACAAGCTACCCAAGCACTTTACAACTAACCTTCAATGTCAGCCCTTAGACCTTTAAAGACAGGGTCTTCCTATAGAGTAGCCAAGGCTGCCCAAGAATGCGCAATATAATCTAGGCTGGCCTCAGATTTGTGATCCTCTTGCCTCTACTTCTCAGTTTCTGAGATTATAGGAGAGTGTCACTTAGTTTGACAGGAGCTTCATTTTTTACTCTGAAAAGCTTGTAGCTATTTTATGGACTTGCCTAATCTATCTTACCAACAGTGAATGACTCTTGCATATGGAATCAGAATTTTTAGGAATCTAGTAGAAAATAAAAAAAAACATGAGCAAATACAAAACACTGTGACATCTTAAAATATTAGAATAGGTGTTTTGGGATTTTTTTTCTTGTACAACTGACAAAATTCAAATAATGATACTTGTTTTAGCCAATAAAAATGTTTTTGTTATGGAAGTGTAGAACCAAGTGCACAAAATGCCCTCCTCTTTGAAAAAGGAAAGCTGAGTACAGTGTTCTTTTCTGTAGAAGTCCTAAGCATAATTCTGAGACATTGTTGCTATTACTCCTGGCATGGTTAAAAGACTTCCAGTCCTTAGGAACTACCTTCCGGGCACTCAGTGAGCACAGAGTTACACAGATTATTATCATAATTTGTTGCCACATCTAACTGAGAGAGTTAGATGTCATCTAGTTATTCTAGATGTCAGCAAATGTCACTGGGGCACACATTCCAGTTCTTCATTTGGCAACCATGACTAAGTGTTCTCTTACATTCATGTTACTGGGGTGGGCTCTTACTGGACTCATATCCCACTCTTATTTGCTGGTTCCTCTTGAATCCAGAAACTTCATATAACTTGTTAGACCTAGAATGTTTCAGCTGTGTAATTTTGACTAAAGCTTGATTAACTAAGTGTTGTAAATGACAAAGGACAAATTTAGCATCCTGAAGACATTAGATTCACTTGTATGTTTTAGTCAAGAACTTATATTTATTGTAGTAAAGTAGCCAACTAACCTATATCTACAATTATACATAAAAATGCCCTAAGTGTAGTAAGTAAAATACTGAAAAACAAAACAAAACTTCATCTCCACCATACATATTCTTGATTTACCTTAATGAAAATTCTAAATATTTATTACCACGAATTTATTCATTTTAATGCTATTTTTGTTGTTGGGGATTTTTAAGCAAAAATTTCTACCTAATATTGTTACTTTGCTAAAAAAAAAAAAAAGTATTCCTTGTGGATTCAAAGTCTCTTAGCAACACTTTCTTGACTCCATGGTCTTTTTTCTCCAGACAAAGATTCTGTTTTGTTTCTCCATGTACCCTTTGATGGAATGCCTTGAGAAGGACATATTATCTCCACAATTCTTCCGAATGATTCATAAACTCTCACTCTATCAGTCTAATCATGAGAAAACATCATGAAGTCTCAATGAGAGAATATCCTATAAGATAACTGATCCTCTTCTAAACCTCATAATAACTCTCATTCCACTCAAAAAACATACTGTCAAAAATGATACATTGTATAAATTTGACAAACATGGACAATGCTTGACAATTATTCTCTTAGCTATTTCAAATCAATGGAATGAGCCAATTCTTACCAGTCAATTCATTTTAAATAAGTGGGTACAAATGGTTTTACGCTTTATTTCCTTCATTTCTCTCCACAGGAGACTCAGCCAACCTCACCTGCAGAGCTTTCTTTGGGTACAGTGGAGATGTCAGTCCTTTGATTTACTGGATGAAAGGAGAGAAGTTTATTGAAGATCTGGATGAAAATCGAGTTTGGGAAAGTGACATTAGGTAAAATAATTTTTCTTCTTTTAAACATGTGCAGTTGAGTTAACATTTGCTCTACTAAGTGGGGAGAGGGTGAGCTAAAACAGAAAAGATTTTTAATCATTTTATCTTTCTATTATCGTAACAGAAATACTGTGATACTTTATGTCAAAGAAGCAAAGAAGTGTTAAGACTGACTATGGAATTACAAAATGTGAATGCCATTTACAAAAAAAATTAAGAGAAATTCTTTTCTTTTTAAATATTTTTATTAATTCTTTGGGATTTCATAGAGTATGTTTTGATCATAATCACAAGCATAGCCCCCTTCACCACATAAGAATAATTTCCAAAGGAACATTTCACTATAGTACACTAAAACCAAATAATGAAAAATATCAGAGTCCATTCTAACCTTAGAAAAAATCATTGTGCTTTTTATTTACAAAAGCATCTTTCAAATTTTATTGAGAGGAAGCAGACATGGTGGCTAATGTCTGTAATCACAGTGCTTGATAATCTCAGACAGGAAGGTTGCTGTGAATTGAAGGCCAACCTGGGTCATATGAGTTAAGTGCCAGCCTGGGCTAGAGTGAGACACTGTCACTAGCAATAAATGTGAAAGGAACCATTAGCTAGGCACTATATGGACTCAAATGAAACCTTTACATTTTCCTTGGTTGTTTTTACATATTTAAGTTATGGAGGAGAATATAAACTGTTTGATGGGAGGATATGCAAATTTTTGTTATCTTTCCTACTCTAACTTTAAGGTATAAATATTTATGAAGAGGAAATAATAATAGAACAAACTTTTAAATTTTTAGGTATCTATTTTGAGGGCATAATGTTTATACTTCTTTTTTTCAATGTACTTACATATCTATTTACTTATATTTAAGTATCAAAGTATTCAAAGGTGAAACAAATTATATTTGGGCATGAAGAGCTAGTTCTAATCATATTGTAAATAATCAAGGAAGGACATACATAATGATAACTAAGTTTTATTCAAATACAAATGATGGATATTTTCTAAATATTCTTCCATATAGAGCTTGTATCTTCTGACTGGATATGAGGATTTAAGTGATGGTTTTCCTTTTTAAATGTCAAGATTTTTAAAACTTTAACAAAAATATAAAAGAAAGTGTTTTTCAGTAAAAAGCAAAAATGTATAAAATTGTCATAGAAGATCATTTCTATTGGGATCTTCTCTCTGGCAAGAAAAAACACACAATATCTCATTCTGGACTGCTCCAACTGGATTCTGGAAGATCCAAATGGGCAGTTCTCCAATATAGATAAAAATCTTTCTTTGCCATTTTTCATATTTAAAATTTCACTTTTTATCATTTACCAATACTTTTTGAGTTTTTAAAGTTAAAGAAATACTGTAAACCTAAACTGTCTAACTTTAACTGTATGAGCTTAACAGTAAAGTCTAGAAAGTTATTTATCAAATAAGATAATTTATATATATATATATATATATATATATATATATATATATATATATATATATGCATGCACACACACACAGAGACACACATCCATCCAGGCAGAAGTTTGGAACTAGGAATACTGAGAGCAGGAAGAAGGAAAAGAAATTTTCCATTTGTTTTGAGAGACTGTTAAAATATGTAACAATCAGATTAGTGAGCATTTAACATTAATTTGAAGAGTCAGAATTAAATAGCTACCAGAACTTTTGTTCTCTCTGTTAATGGTTTCATGTTTCTTTAAACTATGCAGCTTGTTTGTGTCATTAAAAAAAGTAAGTCAGGCTGGAGGTTTCAACAGATATGTCAAAATAACTCAGAAATGTTCTCTTTCTTTCTTACTCTTTTTAAAAATAATCTGATACATAATTAGGCCTCCAGCCTAACATTTTAAAATCTCTTATCTCATTTTTACATCATATTTCTTCTTAAAGGAAAAACAATTTGTAAACTTTTCTTCAAGGTCTCTCTCACCTCTTTATTATGACAGCATGATTGTCCTGCTATGAGAGATAATTAACTGCAAGTTCATTAGCATCTCCAAAGACAAGCTTCTTCATTAGAAGTGAAGAAGAAAAGGGCATGATATCATTTAATTAACTTAGCATCAATTCATAGCCAGATTTGAAGCACAAACTCTGTAGGTATATTCTCATCAGATTCAGATTCATTTACATTTCTTTCTTTTTCATGTATGTGTATGTGTATGTTTGTGTGGGGTTTTTTGTTGCGTTTTCCTTTATGTTTTAGAATTCTTAAGGAACATCTTGGAGAACAGGAAGTTTCTATCTCATTAATTGTTGACTCTGTGGAAGAAGGTGACCTGGGGAATTATTCCTGTTATGTTGAAAATGGAAATGGACGTCGGCATGCCAGTGTTCTCCTTCATAAACGAGGTGAGTGTTACCTTCCGTACCTAAGAGTTAAGATGAAACTTCCATAGACAGGAAATCACTGGACTCTAGTAAAAAAAAAAACTATTATTTTTATTTCCACATAAAACTCTATAGGTACCTGCCTAATAAGATTTCTCAACCCATAGTTAATGTGAACACGACCGTCCAAATAAGTCTCCACCTATAACTGTTATCCTGTATCCCTGATGCTTGAGCTATATTAAGTAGAATGTGCATGTTGTAGCCCTTTGATGATGTAAACTTGGTACTACATGCTGACTTGCTCTTCACATGCAGTAAGCTACATAATAATGTACTGGTAAATTAGAAACAAAGAATGCAGCAGGATCTGTCTAGCTTATTTAAGGATGAGACTGAACAGTAAAAGTACCACCATAGGTTTTGGTCCTTGGGAAGCACAGTGATCAAAAACTGTGTGGCTGCTCATTCATTAGTCTTCTACTAATGTCAGGCCCCTTGTGCCTGGAGTTGAATAGATTCAGTACTCTCTCTTTCCCTATGGTTTCTCCTTTTTCTGAGCTGTATGGGCAATTTGCCAAACAACATGGCAAAGCTTCCTTAGGTGTCTCCCTCCGAGTTTAACAGACAGTGATACCGAGGCCCAGTGCTGAAACGTGGTTTTCAGTGTGATCGGGACAGAGGGGATAAAGAAACCCTACCATACTGGAACACTTTGGGTCTTGCCTGTATTTTGCATTCTGATTTGTGTGTAGTTACATCTAGACCTTCCATCAGTGAACTAGTGTGGTCCCACACATGTCTCTAATAAAACTTACTTGCCATTTGTTTCAACTGAGGAAAAAAAAAACTAGCACAAATAAAACAATCATATTAGCATTGTGTGCATGAAGGTGGTAGTTGCTTCACGTCCATCAACACAGTATTCAGAAGCCAGTACTCCAAAGGCGAAATCTGGTAGAAAAAAGACAGGTTTATTTAATAGCTAGCACCTGAGAAAATAACTATTAGTCCCTAGATGAATGACGTTCTTAGAGAACTCTGGTATAGAAAGAAATGGACTTGTAGGAAGAAGAAAGGGAAGAGCAAAGGACAACAGGAAAGAATATTATGTCCTCTGAGGGGCTTTGTTACCCAAAACAACTCCCCATTCCTGAGTGTGTGACTCCCACTCCTGAAGCTGGTAATTGATTGTGACCTCTTGGGCTAGTTTCTGTATATTTTTTTAATTAGTATAACTGGCCTGAGAGTTAATCCTCATAGCAATTGGCATGCTTTTTGTTTGCTGATGCACAGAACAAGAATAAAAAAGAACACATCTTGATTTGGTTTGAGGGCATCCAGCTGTTCTGGGTTTTGTAAATCTGAGGATCATTTAGCAGTTAACATCTTCATCATTTAGATGCAGCTTTCTTTAGAATGGCGAACAAATGATAAACCACAAAGGGACAACCACTATCACAGAAGAAGAGAGCATCATAGATGGAGGGACTAAATCAAACTCTTGGGTCAAATTTGGTTTCTTTGCCTTGCTTTAATATCAAATATATAGCCTAAGCAAGGTGTTCTCAAGTGTTGGTTTCTGATATGTAGATTGGAGAAAATATTATCAACTCTTCAGTGTTTTATAAATATAAAATAAGACAACGAATGGGCTCAATAAAGTACCTATACACAGAAGATGTTTAGTTAAGTGGTATTTGTTATTATAAGAAATAGGCATTTGGTCATTAAAATAACTGCATTTTTAATGAAATAGAGTGTGTCATGATTCGAAGGTTGTTCCATTAGTGCAAGAACTGGGCCTGATGAATTCCCCAATACAGAACTTCTTGACATTTTTAACTTTGTATAGTTATTTTCATATACAATATCCTCCTATGATTAATAGTATCTTATTAAAAGATGGGCTGTATTTAAGGCAGTATCTGAAATAGTAACTTTGTCTCCACAGCAGCAGCATCAGCTTATGCACAGGTGTGTGTGTGTGTGTGTGTGTGTGTGTGTGTGTGTGTGTGTGTGTGTGTGTATTGTTTGAAATTAGTGATGATTATAAAATGTGACCTATGCCTTTGAGTTAGTGAAATTTTTATGCACATTAGAGGAGAAATTTTTTTCAGCATTATGCTAAGTTAAAACATTCTAGTCTACTTATTCCAAGTACGCTTGGTACTCTCTTACTCAGCAGATTTACAATGATTTTAATTTCAAAGAATAACTTCAATCCTACAGTCTTTGAGGCTTGAAAAGAAAGGGAACACTGAAGACTATTCCCTACCTTATTGGGAAACAGATTCTCTTTGAATAGTGTTGCTGAAAGCTATTAAAATAAACACCTTGACTGTCAAGGTGACTGTACTATTAAAGTAGCATATTATGCTGGAATGTGAGGAGAGAAGAAAAGTAAGCAGCAGCTAGTAATGTTTCTTCCTGTCCCTTAACACATAGTTAAACAATGAGGGAATTTACGTACCCATGCATTTATATAAGTACAAAAGCAGCCTCAGCGTGGAGAGCAACTTAAATGCTATAGACTTAAAAACTTATCTTGCCATAGCACTTTCAAAATAACATACCAGCTTATACTGGATCACATTCAATCTCTAGGAAATCCATTATATCTTTGGAATAATCTGTTGAAAAAGTATCTCCATTTCTTTAGTTGTCTATCCATTGGCTCTAGTCTACACTTTCAATTGCTATTTCCCTAACAATCAGATGGTTGATAATAATCACCATGACCCTACTGAACTTCAATTTCACCAGATTCAACCTCTCTAGCTCCCTCTACTTATTCCTCATTTATATGTAACATTCTTGTCACTCTCTTGAATATAGTCCAAATGAAGAGTTTAAAGTAATCCTTAAGAATTAAAATGGTGAAGAAAAGCTTATGGAACATGATAAAAATCCACAGGTTTGGGGGCTAGTGAGATAGCTCAGTAGTTAAGAGCACTTGTTGCTCTTGCAGAGGACCTGAATTCAGTTCCCAGCAACTATATTGTGGCTAGCAACCATTTCATACAAAACACTCTTATGCATAAAATAAAATAAACCTCAAAAAGATTTTTAAGTCTATTGATCTGACAACATATATATCCATTTGGAGCATGGAAGAGATAGCAGTTAAAGGATTATCATAAGAAAAGAAGAATGACAATGTATTAGATGTATGGGTGAAGCTAATAAAGCTGATTTTGCAGGCAGGCATGAAATTAGTAAGGGTCAGATACACTCTAGGATATTTCTAGCATGTTTAGCCTGAGGTTAAGCATACACAGCTACTAAAACTTCCAATTACATAAAAAATACAGTTTTGAAGAATCAAGGAAATTATTTCATAAGAAATGTCATTAATGCCTGATTCTTTGAATACGAGGAAGACAAAAATGGCCATTTTTAGTTTCTCTCACATACTTAAGTTTTCCATGATATTTTCCCAAATCTATATTACATCAACTATACTTTTTCTTATTAAAATAAAAGCATTAATTCTCAAAAAGTCCTTCGAGTCTGTGTACTCAGAAAGTCTCTTTTTTAAGTGAATGTGCCCCTTCTTTTGAAGGGAGTTGGGGCAAAGGAGTCTTTACTTGCAAGGAAATAATAGATGCAATCTTATCTCAAATAACTCAAAGGTCATTCCATCTCAGTGTATGGAATGACCACATTCATCCTGAGAACAAGGAGGATTTTGGTCAGCATATGACATAACTCTAACTTCACCAACCCTACAAAGTTCAGGAAGAGAGGACACAGCAAATAAGATCCCATAGGTTTGAATCTTCAATGAGAATGTCAGACTTCTGTCAGGCTATCAATTATGCAATTATCAAATAATTTTCTATATTACTCAGAGGACTAATACTCAGAGAAACAACTGGAAGCTGCCACTGTTAATCTTTTGTTTTTGTCACCAACTTAAAACTTCTCTACAGGTTTTCAAAATCTTCCTTTTAAATTCGACCTTGGAGAAATACATTAAAACAGTTGTTTGATCTAGAGCAGTGGTTCTCAACTTTCCTAATGTTGCAACCCTTTAACATAATTCTTCATGTTGTGGTGACCTCCAACCATAAAGTTATTTTCCTTGGCACATCCTAACTGTAATTTTGCTACTGTTGTGAATCACAATGCAAATCTATGCTTTCCGATGGCCTTAGGTGACTTCTGTGAAAGTGTCATTCAACATACCCAAAGGGGGCTGCAAACCACTCATCTAGATCTTGAGCATTAGGACCTGTAACTTCTGACAGATAAAGTTTCTCCGAAGTTTTCTAAGCATATTTCCTCTGATGTTACTTTTGTCCAATGCTTTTGATATAATATTTCCAATGTTCTTAGGTGACCTCTGTGAAAAGGTCATTTGACCCCTAGGGGGTCACAACCTATAGGTTGAGAAACACTGCTCTAAATGGATACACACTAGAAATGTGTTTTGGCCTCAGATTTTTCCACTCCTCCATTCATCAGAAAGAAGTGGATTCTGTGTCAGTGACCTATGATTTCTGGCCCCAAATTTTCTGACTACTTGATGTCCTCAAAATATGGACATCTTTATTATCTATAACAAAGCATTTTAATAGTTAAGGGTATGGATTTGGGAACACGGCTGGCTGTGTTCAAGAGTCAACTCTTCATAATTTTCTGTCGTAGGCAACCTACTCCATTTATGTGGGCCTCAAATTGTCTTCTATAAAATGGAGTACTAAGATACCCTTTCACTTATAGCAGCTATGAGAATTAAATGAACTCATATGTGCCAGTGCTTATCACAGCATCTGACACATACTTAGTGCCCAATAAATATTAACAAGCTACTACAAGATTTCTCTGCTCCGACTGTGTGCTACTGCAGGTAATGGAGGATGCAGCAATTGTATGTTCCATTAAAAATTCTATGCATTCTGATTTATATTCCATTGAAATGATCATCTTTAGCTCCAGCAATTACATCTCATTTCTTTGGAACTTTAACTTACAATAAATTTACTTTAGTTTGAATGCACTGTCCTAAAATTTTC